TTCCAGATTTTCTTACTGGAGAGCTTTGTACATACCTGGCACAAAGACTGTCTCGCCTGGTTTCTGTAAGATTTCCAGGGGTTTGAATTCAGGAGGCCAGGTGGGGAGCTGCGTCCTAGGATAGATGACATTGAACCAAGTGATAGCCTCATCCTGCTGGTTCCCTCCCTCTTCTCGCGTCACTTTGATCAGCTCTCTGGGAGTGCTGGTAGGGAACAGGCACCAACGCTTGTGTCCCTGGACTAAGGCATTCCACGCACTAGTTCCCAAGGGATCGATGTGAATTCCTGTTCCAGAACGAGGTGGGCCCATCACAAACCATCTGCATGGGGGAAAACAAAAGTCCTTTAGTCATAGAGCAAGCAAATAGCTACCATATTAGAAAGAAAATTACAGCTGTTAATTTCACATCCAGCTAAAAAAATCGTCTTTCAGTTAGTTACAGTTCCTTCATTTACCTTCTTGAGATTGTTAAGCTCACACTACAGCAAAAAGATACAACATGGGTTTAACCTAAAAACCAACATGAATTGGGACAGGAATGACTCTGGGACAAGAAAGTGAAGATAGCTTTTTATATTTCACAGCTGTATTTTATTTTAAACAGTTCTTCAATAAAATAATCACATTCATAAACCTTGACATCACTATACAAGTCACAACAGTCTGCGTTAGGATTCTTACTATGCAGGAGGATCCTCCTAGTGCTATGTTTTTCTAAAATTTGCTATTCAAACAGATCCAGAACTGCAGAACAGTGAGAAGCAAACAAAAGGCAACACAAGTAAGGAACAGAGCAAAGTTACGCAACCCTGGCCTCCCTCTGCGCCTTCTGTTCATTTACAACAGGCTTTTCATTCTAACATTTAACTAGATGGAGCTCATTCTCCAGTGACCATTCAGGATTTGGTGTGTATATTCTCATTGCCATTTGCAAGGTCTATTTCTCCCAATGGAGAGCTTTATCTACTCTACATGTTTTAACAGCAACAGCACCTTCAATTGCTCATTTCCCCTGTAACAGAACAGCAAGATCTACCATACCAGATAAAGCAGTCTAAGTGAGGTGACTTAATATCAGGTGTCAAGAGGAAAAATATGGCAGTAATTGTTTAATGGGCAGCAGAGAGCGTAGAAACTAAATGCACGAACAAGATCCCTCCATTGTGTGGCTGACAGGCAGATGATACCCAGCAAGAGGAGTTCAAAGGTACAGAGAATATCGAAAGTCAGCAAGCTCTCCATCTCCCACTTCCAATACAGGTGTAAACTAAGATGGTTTTCAAGTATCATTTACTAGCACCAGTTGTAGAACTGTAAGTTTGGTTATCAAGTTGTGCTCTTCCTACTTCACAAAGGAGCCATAAAAAGGTAACTAAGAAGGTGTTTGTCACTTCTATTGTCAATTTACTCTTTAGATTCATATTAGCCTTGGAAGGCTAATTAAACCACAAGCAAAACAGTCAAAGGCTTTTCTAAGAAGACAGAAGAAATGAAACACATAGAAATCTGCCTGGTATAGAGACGCACTGTTCAATATAATTTTTCTGACTATAACCCAAATCTGTGTGTGCAGAAAATTTAAAACCCCTTATTTAGTAACACTATCATTTAGAGCATCTTCCTCCAGATGTTTAATTTACAGTGAACATAACCCAGTTTGCCACAAGACATCAAATTTACCATTAAAAACTTCACAACCTGTAACTTCAGTTTAAAAGCAAAAAAACCCAAACCCCAACACTCTACCAAACTAAAATAGCTGCTCCAGTGAATGACTTCCAAAAATTACTGCCTTTACTGCAAAGAGGAACAACTCGAACAAAGATGCTCCAAACAGCACTAGTTCTTACTTTAAGATCTATACGCTATCACACACCTCTCAATCCAGAGGTCACTCTGTACAGTTCTTATCTTGATCATATGATGAGAAAGCACCACTTCCTGATGGATTTTCAATTATGCGCTTATACTACTGGATACTCTTAATCTGTTTCTGTACCTAGATGAAACACCTAACTCCAAGGAGGCATCAGTGTGCTCTCCTGCATCACTCATCTCTCAGAAAATGATAACAGTCTCAAACAAACCCACATTTTCCAGAACAAAGTACAGGAACTGTGAATACCAAGCTCACAGGCAAGGTGCTCAGCACGTACCTGTCGGTTGGGAGGGTGTGGGGGAAAGGGACAGCAATATAAGTGAGTCACAACCACATTATCTAGTTTACCTGTAGCTTGGATAAATGATTGACAGTTCTGTAAGCATATTCAGTTTCTACTAGGAACTACTGGTGTGCTTTTGAGTTTGATCATAGCATTGTACATTCTTCTTAGAAGTGAATTATAAAAAGGGTCTGTTATGACACTGTAAACACACCTACTTCAGTGATCTTAAATAGAATGAGTTTCATGCTTCACTCCTGCAAAAGTACAACTGGACTACAGAAGTATAAGAGATTGCAGAGAAGAGTACCACTATTCACTACTTGTTCCATTTTATTTTAAAAACCCCAAAAAATTAGAAAACCCACATCACAGTTTCCTGTCACTCAAAGGGCAAGGCATTCTCTGACAATTATAATGTCACTGTAAAGATTTTAATTACGTGGGAGCTTATGCTCATACTGCTATGAAGTGTTACATTAACACAGAAATCCCTTGTGTATCTAACAGCCTCAATACAAGGTTGTCGGACTTGATTTCGGGAACGAAGTGTCATTTCAATCCTCCAGTCAGAAGAAAGATCTTTCAATCCTTCCAAAGAAACAGTTGAAAAAGACTACACAGATGTGAAATACTGTTCTCTCTCAAAATCATTTGAAGGGAAGCTAAGAACTAGTCTCCACACTTCATACTAATCTAGATTAAGATCTTGACCTAAAAAAGCCTGACTCATAATTAAACAAAATTCCACTGTACATAAGCCATTGGTGCAAAACCAAGGAGCTAGTCTTGAGGTACGTAAAATTTGAAAGCCAGAAGGCACATATAGCAAGAAATGAACCTTCATAACTTTCAGTAACTATGTAATTTTTTAAAAAAATCTAAGTGAGGTAAACTGACTTAATAAAAAAAAAGAAACAAACCCAAACTTGTAGCAACACTGGTGGCAGAACCAGAAACTGTGATACACAAATGTGCCCTTCCTTCCCTCTGAGTTATGGAAGTATGTTCATCTCAGAAGAGCAAACATAAAGCTTTTGCTTTGTTCCATATAAGACAACCATACCTATTTAGGAATCGCTAATGGAATGGAAAATACCTACTTTTATCTTGCTATCACTGTACTATACCTGTAAGGTGGCCTTCGTTTCTCCCCTGCATACTGAAAGAGGTCATCAGTGAAGAATTTTGGTACTTTGTAGTCCTCCAGGAGTTTCCTGCGCTTGGGATGCTCTCCATAACTGCTGTCAAAGATGTAGAGCGGGCTGTCATCGCGTGTGGTTTCCATATACTCTATGTAGTATTTCATCTTCATCTTCACAGAATAACCGTCATTGTCCTCCCCACATTTGAACTTCTGGTTCCTATACTTGCGTTTCAGCCGTTCCAGAGTCCACTTCTCTTGGGCAGACCAGCCCACCTGGGCATTCAGCAAGACTACAGGCTTGTAAGGTTTTTCATAACGCTCAACAAATTCCTCCACTGTTAACTGGAGGGCATCTGCCCTCTCCACATTATCCTGTGAAACCAAGAGACGAATACAGAACAGATATTACAAGAGACTAGCATGCTAGAGCTGAGCTTTCTAAGTGTGGAGGAGCTTCACACTCGTATTTTGCTCCACGCATCACCAGGGCACCAAGCTGCCTACGTGTTATTTTAAGCTCCCTGAGGCTGCAATCCTACTTCTCATGCCCCACTCCACACACCCATCAGTAACAGCAGCAGGCTGAAGCCATTTGGCACTCCTCCATCCTAGGTGGCCTCTCCACCCAGGGTGTCACCCAGAGCTGACACATTCCCTGCTGCATTTCACCCCCCCCATCGCCGCCCCCGGGATCCTGGGGAAAGCGCCTGGGAATTACGTGGGCGCTCCGGCGCTGAGGGTGCCCATCCCACGCCGGCGGGGCCCTGACCTCCCCGCACTCCTCGCCACGTGGAAGGAGAAAAAACCGCGGGTGCCGCTTGACCTCCCCCTCCCCCTCAGGTTCCCCGGGCCAGCATCCCCAGGGAGCCCCACCAGCTCTGAAGCAACCCCGGCCTTAAGAAAGACCCCTTTCCCCGCTCCCATCACACTTCCCTCAGGCCTCCCCAACACCCTCGGGTCCCCCCCTCAGTCGTGTGTCTCCTCCTGCCCCCCTTCCCCATTCCCCTCAGGGCCTCCCTATTCCCCACAAGCCCCCGTTCCCCTCAGGGCCCCCCCCCGCCGTTCCCCACGCCGTTCCCCTCAGGCGAGGCGGGGCGGGGCGGGCCCGGCCGGGGCGCACCTTGCAGGCGGCGGGGCTGAGGGGGAAGGTCTCGCAGTAGTTGTGGCGGGTCCAATCCAACGAGTCCTTCAGCTCGGGCCGGGCACTGCGCTTCGCCTCGCGGATCCGTTTCTTGCTCTTATGATTCATGGCGGCGGTACCGGCGGCAGCGCTGGGGGCCGTCACCACCCCCCGGCCCCGCTCCGCGCCCGGCCCCGGCACCTTCGAGAAATTTCACCCCCTTGCCGCCGCTGTCGCCCTGGCCCCGCCCCCTCTGCCTTCCCATTGGCTGGCCGCGCCGCCATTTTCCGCCACGCCTCGCCCGCCCCCCGGCTCCGATTGGCCCAGGCGAGGACGCGGTGCGGCCGGGCCGCCATGTTGGGAGGGCGGGCGCTGAGGGGCGGCGGTCGCCCTTGTCCGCGCCCTTTCGCCACCGAGGCCGCCCCGGGAGCGCCCCGCCGCCCTTCCGCTTCCCCCAGCGGGCGCAGCGCCCCGCTGCTGCTCTGACAGCCGGCGGGCGCGGCCGCGCGTCGCCAGCTTCGTGCGGGCCAGCGCGGTGCCGCCCTCAGGGCACCGGTTTAACCGCGACGCTCGGAGGGGGTGGGGGAGGAGGCGGTGCTCGGCGTGACGCTACTCCCGGACGAAGCCGCCGATTGGGTCCCTGCGGCTTTCGGCGCGTGACGTCTCCACCCGCCATTGGACGGCGGCGCGGCCATGGGGGAGCCGCGGCGGTACCGGTTCGGCGAGGGGCCGGAGGCGCTGGCGCTGCGCATCCCCGAGGTACCGGGAGAGGGAACGGGCGGGACACGCGGGGCGGGACCCGCCGTCCCCGCGCTGCCCTCGCTGTGTTTCAGGTGCTGGACTCGCAGTACGGGCTGTACGTGTGGCCCTGCGCCGTGGTGCTGGCGCAGTACCTCTGGGTGCACCGGCGCAGCCTGCGCGGCAAGCGAGTGCTGGAGGTACCGCCGCCCCCCCCCCCCCCCCCCGCACGCCCCCCTCCCTTGTCCTCCTCCCTGAACACCCCCCCGCTTTCAGATCGGTGCCGGCGTGAGCCTCCCCGGCGTGCTGGCGGCCAAGTGCGGAGCCCGAGTGACGCTGTCGGACAGCGAGGAGCTGCCGCGGTGCCTGCAGCGCTGTCGGAGCAGCTGCCTGCTGAACCGCCTGCCCCACGTCCCTGTCCTGGGGCTGACCTGGGGGCGCGTGTCACCACAGCTGCTCGCTCTCGCTCCCGTAGATATTATTTTAGGATCGGATGTCTTTTTTGACCCAAAAGGTATGTTAATACTCTTGGGTATCTCTGATTTGTGACAAACGGCATGGATTTCTTATCCAAGCTGTACTGGGAACACTGGCAAGAGATCAGGTGATAATATGCTATTGAACTTGTTATTCTTGGGGTAAACCTAGCATCAATCTGTCATAAATACCATCAGAGGGTAGGCAAATAGAAAATAGAATAATTAATCTCCTAGAGGCAGTTAGTCCTGTATTGATTTTTAATTACTCTTTCACATAACCAGACATATTTAATTGTACCTAGAATCCAGAGACTAACCAACACTACTTCATCTCCCCAAACTACACAGACTTTGAAGATATTTTAACTACAATTTACTTCTTGCTACAAAAGAATCCACATGCTCAATTCTGGACTACTTACCAAGTCCGAAGGTAAACTCTTTTGCATATTTAAGAGTCAAATCTTAATTCCTGTCTCCCTGTTTTAGCTCTTAGTGGTAACTTCTCAGAAGCACCACCACACCGATTCCAGAGAAGCTCCTCACACATTGTGAGTCAGGCTGGTATTAGCCAAGTAGCAGCCAAACAGAAAATAATCCAAAAACCACCAATTTACAGTTGACTAGAAAACTTATAAACTCAGTTTTGTGAACTGAATAAGTTTGGTGACAGTCTCTTGTAATTACTGTATGTTAAAAACTTGGATGATGTTTTCACACACCGGTATTTCCTCCCCTCAGTGCCGACTGGTCTATCGAAGCTTTGCTCTGCAAATGGAAGCTGAAGCATACCCACATTCCCCTACATTCTTTCAATGCAGACAAAGAACACTTGGCCAGCTCTTCTCTACCAGGAAGACATACGATTGAAATGATGATCATCTCACTAGCACAATCAGATGGTACTTAAGTTTATTCCACTTATTGGTTCCAATACAAGATGATACTTAACTGTTCACTGTAGCACAGATCTGCAGAAAACAGTCCTGTTTACAGCAAACCTCATGTGTATTTTTTGGGAAGCAGATCCCCTTAGCAGTAATTCTTAAAACATGCACTGTAAAAATAAAGCTGTTCAATTTTTCAGCTATGGCTTTTGAGAAATTTGTGCTCCTCCCCAAAGACCATGTATTAGTTCAAAGACTCAATTCCATTATGTAAGCCACTACACAAAATAGGTTAACCACCTGACAATCCACAAGATCCAATTTAAATTCACAACTTCAGCTATGAAGAAAAGTTAACTGCACTCTTTCAAGATAAAAAAATATCCCCGTAAGATCCGTTTCCCAGGACTGAAGCTCTTTGCCAAAGATTCATATACAGAAGCCAGTCCATTTGTTTTAAAATGAATCCGTAGACTGCCACTAGCCACACAGTCCTGGAACATACAAACTCCTCAATACGTAGAAAAGTACTTTTAATCCCCAGTCAAGCCAGACTGCGAATATTCAAATGTTTCCATTCCCATTTAACATACATGCATGAAGTTAACAACGCATTACAATAACCCTTGACACATGATGGTTAAAGTTACAATTCATTTGGTATCCAAATAAAAAAAAAAAAAATCATCATGGTAAGATTAGCTACCAGCAAGCAGCAGCCTATTGAGTCAGGGCAAGCACACAGCAAATGCAATTAGTACTGCTCAGTGTGTATCTTCCGTAACACCGTCTGTTGGACCTGACTATTTATAGTCTGGTGTGCAATACTCGCCATACAACCTTCGGGTTAGTCACAACACTACTTAAGTTTGCCCACAGTAATTTAAAAGCCCCCAGTGGATAAAATTTATAAGCAGTTGAATGCATTCAGTTACTATATAGAAGTTAAACATTGACAGTGTAATTGCAGAAATCTTTTCAAGCTAAAAATAAGCTGACTCAGACATTAAGTTGAGAAAAGTTAACACAGAAAAATGTTTAATATTAAACTACAGAGACAGTGGGTATAGTACAGAATGTCTTAAGCAAAAGATACACCAATCAGTACTTACAAAGGAATGAACCATTTCTTTTCTTAACATTACATTTCTCATATGCAAGTTCATATATGTAGGTTGGTATGTTTTATCATTCTGGAAAAAATAAGGTGTGTATATCATCAGCTAGATGTGCTCACTGTATGCTCCATTATTTTTACGCAAGGCCCGGGTGACTGGAAGTGCAGTTGTCAGGCATTTTAATTAACTGGACAGCCATTTGTTTCTGCACGACAAGGCATCGTTACACAGGAGCAATCAGGAGAAAACAGGAAACAGCCAAGCACTCTGCACTGCAACACGCCACCTTAACAGCTAACCAGCATTACTCAACTGCTACACAACTGCGCCTAGTGCACAAAAATACATAAGAGAAGAGATTAGAATTGAGTCTGATAAAACAATCCTTTCAAATATCAACTGTCACCTGAAAAGATTTCTACCAATTTGAATTTGAAGATATACTATTTGAATTCAAAGTAATAAAGCATTTACAGTAAGTTTCAAATTGAAGTTTTGCAGAATTTTATTTAAGGAATGAAGACAAAATTGAGAATACTTTTTGACAGTTAGCTACTCAGCATATACTAGCTGCATGTTTCCTCAGTATGAAACTGGACGCAGCAAGTTACCATCGGTTTTAATTTCAAATCAAAGTCAGCACTATATAAACAAAAATGAAGTTTTACCTCAAATATCCAAGCCAATAATGAAATCGGTAGTCGTTCACTTCACTAAATTACAAGAAATTTGAATAACAGCAACAAAATGGCACATAAAATGTAAAATCTGCCACTTGAGGCGCAACTTAAACAAGTAAAAAGTTAGACAAAATGTTACAAAATAACCTTTTCAACAGCTGGTTGCTCATGCCAGGGGTCTCTCCAATGGACTGAAGACTCAAGCGATCTTTTCCCCCCAAAGGCGTCCTTTATGTAGGTTCTCATTTATCTGATGCATCTAGGTTTGAAGAAAGAAAAGTTCAGCCACGTTTCTACCTTGTCTCTTTCGGCTGTGTGGATGACTTCAGGTATACTTCTAGTTGTGTTTCAACTGGCTTTGCCTAATTTAATTAAGTTTTAGGAATTTCCATAGTGTTCCACCTCCCCCCATGTGTTGCTTTTACTTCAGAGGCCAAATGTAAGGTTCTGACAAAGTATTTAGTTACAAAGAAGAATAAGCATCAGGCTGTAGATCAAGCCACCATTAACTTCAATTCAGCCTGTTCAACCGTAGATTATTAAAAGTTACATAAAAGTTATAAAACTAGTATTTCTTCATAAAGACTTAACTAAACTCTAATTAGCATTCAAAACAAAGTATGACTAATTTTGCTACAATTATCTAACTTCAGAGCTAGCTTAGGCCCTTTCCTTTTAAAAATAGGACCAAACAGTTTGAAGGGTTAAAGACACACTATCCTTTCCCCACCCAGTGTATCCTTAGACGCCTCTTCACGATGTCGACTTGAGGAAAAACTAGTTTCCATGGTTTTCTCGTTGCAAGGAATTTGCCACTTTTCTAGAACGGTTATTACCTCCAGTCAGTATAACGGCCACTGAACCGATCTTCCATTATAAAAGGATAGTGTATCTTTAACATTTAAAGACAAACCTGCTCCAATACACGCCCACAGAAACTGGTCCCTGGAGGATCAGCCAAATCAGTTAAAATCTGCAATACTGGCCAATATTCTTTTAGCAAACAGGAGACCGCAGCTTTAAAGGGGAAAATGCAGATGTTGGATAAATACAGTAAGAAATAGTCATTTTCATCATAGGTTGCGTCTCATACAATATTTTATTAAAACCAAGTCATTAATCTCTCAACAAAACATTTTTCTCTGTAAAAAAAATTTCTCCGTAGAAAGCCCTTTGGTATTAATTTCCTTAAACCAATAACCAAAAAGCACTGCTCAAGAAAAAAAAAAAAAAAAACTAAAACAAAAACAAAAAAATCTAACAATGTGCCCCACTAGGATTCACTTGGTTCAGGCTATTAATACTCTAAGAACTACCCAACACCCCATCTAAGTGCTACAATAAAGTAACATGCAACATATGCTGAACCCGAGGTACATTACCATGTTCCTAGGAGGATACAGCTCCTTCTTCTTCCGGAGACTTGGGAGGGCTCTTAGATCTAGATCTAGAGTTGGATTCCCTCTTTGAGGCAGGGGGAGGGCTTCTAGATCTGGACCGGGATCTTGATCTGGACCGGGATCTGGAGACAGATGAGGACTTTGACTTGGATCTCCTGGCAGACCTGGACTTCGAGGTGGAGCGAGACCGAGAGCGTGTGCGAGACCGGGATTTGGATCGACTGTAGCGGGACCGACTGCGGGATCTAGAGCGGCTCCTGCTTCTAGATCGGCTGCGACGGCGTCTTCTAGGGCTAAAGCACACCAGCAAAAAAAAAAAAAAAAAAAAGTGTTAAAAAGTTGAACACGGGCAGCGCAACAGACTTCAGCAACTACTTCGGGCCAGGGAGGGTGGAACGGGACCCACGTGGGCAAGAAAACGAGCGTTGAGGGCGCCATTGTTCAGAGTGAGTGGCCGGGGGCTAAACCTACTACAGAGCGAAACCCTTCCGCTCCGAGGAAACTCCACGCACCTTTTCTACTAAACCCCCGCTCCCAAGCCCGCCACGAAGTCACACGGAAAAGGAAACGAAACCACGCGGCCCTCGGTGCCCGGGCGCACGCTTAAGTCCCGTCTCGTCACCGAAACTCCGCCGCCCCCCTTCCCGGCGCTCACCTGCGGCTGCGGCGGCCGTAGCCGCTGCTCCCGTAGCGGCGCGGCGGGGGGCCGCGGCGGCTGTGGTGCGAGTCGGGCGGGCGGCCGTAACGGGCCATCTGCACGCGGAGCTCCCGGCCATCCAGCACCGCCCCGTCCATCGCGTCCATCGCGTCCTCGGCATCGCGTTTGTCGTGGAAACGGACGAAGGCGAAGCCGCGGCTTTCCTTGGTGTAGCGGTCCCGGGGGATGTAGACGTCGCCCACGCGGCCATACTTTTCGAACACCCTCCGGAGCGTGTCCGGGGACGTTCGGTAGGTCAGGTTGTCCACCTTGAGGGACGTCATGCCCTCCACGTCCGGCGGAGGGCGCCCGTAACTCATGGCGGGCAAAAGCCCCTGAGGGGCGGCGGCGGCTGAGGAGAAGAAACCCGAGGGGAGAGGGGCGAGTCAGGAAACGGCGCGGCCCTGAGGGGGAGAAGAGCCTCACACCGGAGGGTGGCCCAGCGGAGTCCAGAAAGGAAGAGAGCTACAGGGCATAGGGGAACGCCGCGAGGTCCTCCGCGGAGAGGAAGGGGCAGGCACCCACCTCTGGGGTCCGGGGGGGCAGCGGCCTGAGGCCGGGAGCGGAGGCGAAGCGGCAGGAGCGGCCAGCCCGGCCCGCCACCGCGGAGGAAATGAGCGGGGCGCCGCCCGCGCGCGCCGACTTAACGCCACAAAATGGCCGCCGGCGACCTGGAAGTGAAGGCGCCGCCCGCTGCCCCGCCCGCCCCCCGCGTCCCGGCGGCGGCCGCCCGCAGCGCCCGGCGTTTGCCCTTCCTTTCTTCTCCTCACTGGCCGCGGGAAGGCGAGCAGAAAATCGCCCTCTAAGTTATCAACCCGCCCGCTGTTGGGAGTGGCCGTTGAGGCGGCTCCGCCGTGACCCGGAAGGAGTTGGCGGAGGCGGGGAAATTTTGAACAATGTGTGCCGAAAACGGTAAAAAAAAAAAACAAAAACGGAAATAATGCGACCTCCCTGTCTGTTGGGGGGAGGAGAGGTGGGCAACAACTGCCGCGTGAAAAAAAAAAAAAAAAAAAAAAAAAAAAAAAAAAAACCAACCACGTTAATGAAGAGAATCGCCCCTCGCGCGGGCGGGGAGGTTGACGGTTTAAAATGGCGGCCGCGGAGGGGAGAGCGCGCTGAGGGGAGGCGGGTTGGGGCTTTGGGCCCCGGCCGCTCCGGGGGCAGTTCTCCTGGGGTAGCTGCTGCGGGAGTTGTGTGTCTTTCCTGCCCCCGCTGCAGCCGGGCTTGTGCTCTGGTTGCCGCTGCGAGGGGCCCGGCAGGCCGGCGCGGCGCTTCGCGGGCGCTCCGTCACCTCCCGCCGGTAGCGGTGCCGGGGGAAGCCGCCGCGGTCCGTGCAGCTCCAGGCGCGCTGCGATGGAGGCAGAGCCTCTTGCCCGCACGGTGCTACGAGGCGATCTCCACCGGCTGCGCGGGTGCCTGTGAGGGAGCTGTGAGTCGAGCTGGGAAACGTTAGGTACCCTCTTCTACACACAGCGCTCTCTGCAAGTTCGTGTTTTGGTAGCATGCGTGGTAAAATTGGAATGAGGGAGAAGACTAGCACAGCCCTTGTGTAAGGATGACAAGGAGATTCCCCGAGTTCTGTCTAGGGAATTCAGTGAAAGTTGCACTCCCGCACCAAAAGTTGCTCTGTCGCTTAAGGCACTGAATAAAATGGCCAAGCTCCAAGCATAAACAGTCATACCTAGTTCTCATCTTACAACAGTGATGTTTCTACCCATCTGTTTCATAATGCTGTGTTAAAAAAAGAATACAAGCGGAGAAGAGGCAGTTCTCTACTGATTTCTTGAATGGAATGGAAGTATTTATATGAGAAAGCAAATTCAGAATTAGAATATAAATCCTTATTCTTACTGTAACTGTTTAATATATTTTGTACAGAAGTATAAAAATAAACAATGCAAACCCAGAAGCAACCATTTGTTTCCTACTACAAAAAAGTAAAATAAACTAGTACAGCATATTTTGTATTGGTCATGATATATTGTTTGTTCTTCTTTCCCCAAGAATCTTGATTAAAAATTTTCTGATTCACTTGCTGAAACTTTTTCTCTAAGGATAAATTTGAAATACATCTTTACAATGGTTTCCGTGGAACGACAGGGGGTTTCCTGTGTCCCTTCCTCTCTAGTTTCACTCATTTCAGTAGAAGCTTCTGCTGTTGCCAAAAGAATTGGCCCAGCACACCAGCCCAGTTTGCTGTGCAGCTAGATGAATGCTTATGCGGGCATGAGGGGAAGAAGGCATGAGTGGGACACAGTGCCTACAGGATCTTAAAAATCTTACACTAAATACATAACATGACAGCTTTGCTCGTGCTAAAAAAACCCACCTTGACATTCTAATTGGATCCTTATAAAGCAACCTCTGAATAATCATCCTGACTTTCTTGCACAAGTGAAAAATAAACACTGTTTTGAAAAAAACGCATTTTTTAGAAAATACAACTCTGGAATTAAAAGCATTAAATATGCAACAATAGCAGGGATGCAGATTTTAAGTCCTGCACTGTAGATAGCAGAGATAAAATTTGCTGTTTGGTCATTTATTGCAGTAAGTTCTGGATTTCCTCCCCTTCCTCTTTGGCCAGCAGTTAAATGGAGCTGATTTAGCTGAATGCTCCAATCCTGACTTGGACAGAAGATAGTAACAGTAAAAGGCAGCCATTCAGTTGATACAAAATATGTGAGCCTCTTTCAATTTTGCTGATGTTTTAACAGAGATCTTAAAAAGTTAAAGATCAATTGATCTTAAATTTATTATTTAAAAGTACTATGAAGTAAAATATCAAAGGTATGTAATTACTAAAAACGAATGTTGTTCTTTGAGACAAAGCAATGAAAGATTATGGAGACTCTTTCCTCTCTTGAGTCACTGAAACCATGAAAGGCAGAAGCACTGTGCAGAGCATGTGTGTTGGTAGCATGTAGTTTCTCCAAGGTGGGAGTTGTTTTCCCTTTGGAATGATTATTTGCGTGTTTGAGTTCAGCTAATTTGGCAGTTTTCTTAGATGACTTTCTAAGACTTTTATTTTTAACTTGATGGGTATTATTTAGGGGATGGAGATAATAATTCTTAGAAACTAGTATAAATATTTTTAGGATTAGAAGATTTCTACTCTTTCAAGTAGAAAAAGTGTACTTTCATAAAACTGCATTTCCCATAGTGCACAAGGGCTTTCTAGGCTGGATCAGCTGATCTAGATTGTGAAATGTTCCTTATTTCCTGTCTAACGTGCATGGAAATGACTTGTGTGTACGAATGTCTCATCTTTCCCTTGTCAGGTGATTTAAAAGCTGTGGACCAGAATTCTGATTTAGAAGAATGGCAAGAAACTAAGCTGATTAACTAGCTTGATACTTGGAAAACTGCTTCATTTGGGAGAAAGTGATGTCAGGAAGAAGTAGCATACTGCAGTCTGCTCTGCTAACTTCATGGGAAAAGGTAGAGAGAATCTTGGTCTTTACCTTTTGTACTAGACCATTGGTTGCTTGTTTGTTTTTTTGTGTGTTTTTTTTTTCTCCCTCGAGTTACTGATTTTGTTGTACATTATTTAAGAAAGTTACCAGATTTCTTGATTAGTTGATGGTTATGTCCTAGAAGCTAGTAATTGTAATTTTTGAAGCTTTTTGTTTGTTTTATTACTTTTACTTGTTTGTTTTTAACAGAGGTTAAGAGGAAACTTTTAAAAGGAAATAGAGTTTTTCCAGACTGAGGACTGAGGACTTGGCAAGAAACCACAAAATGTCTCCAGAATCAAAAAAACTTTTCAACATAATTATTTTGGGAGTCTCATTTATGTTTATATTCACTGCTTTCCAAACATGTGGAAATATTGCGGTAGGTGTGAATTTCAAAACATGTCACATTTCTATCACACTGATTTGTCCTTTTTTGTCTTTTATGTACTCCAATATAAGAGTTACTTTATTTCAGTTTTTTTTAATGTGCAAGACACCTTGACATTTTGTCTCTTATTTTGGTTTAGTGTTAACTATAATAAGTTGATTAACTGGATAATTAAGCAATTTATTTCTTTAAGATAGCATAGCTGCATATGTACCTGTGCCAGATTGCTTAGAAAGTAGGAAATTAACCTTATAAAATGTCTGAACTTTAAAATAATGTCTGGTTTGACACTTGCAATATTTAACAATTGAATTACATTGGACCTTTCATATTTCTTATTATTCTATGCAATCCCTTTCAAAATATTTGGCCAAGTTATTATTATTAACCATGTCACTAGTTTTTCCTAGAGTGTTTTTCCTAATCGAGCATCTTTTTCTGTTCTAACAAACTAGACATTGAGGGGGAGTGTGAGGATATCATCTGACAAGTAGTCAGACTTCCACAATTGCTAGAACTGCCAAGTCACCTTTCATCTGAATAAGTAATTTACTGCTTTAGTGTCATGTATCTCTTTGTGTGCTGAAGCAAAATTGAGCATAACATAATCCAAATTTACTATTAAAACAGATTGCACTCTTACTACTTACGTTTTTACAATCCTGCTACTGACATACTCAGCCCAGATCCTCTAACTTCCTGAGTTGCTGACGTTGCTTCCCATATTAGTTATATGCCTGAAGGACTGTTAGATTTCAACATACCTCTTGAGCCTACAGGTCTTACAGCTTCTCTTTTCTTGTGTGCAAGAGGAATCCTTGCTGGGTTCAGACATATAAACATCCTGCACTGCATTACAGAAATAACTACTTAGGATAAAAAGTCATAGTACAGCATGATACTGAACATGAGTATGTAAGTACAGCCCAGTGATCTGGAAGTTCTGCCATGCATTCACAGCAACTCACTGAATTGGACCTAGTGATCATGCAATCATGTAATTTATTGTCATTAAAGTCATTACAAGTGACTTTCAATCAGATCTGCCTGCCAATCAACTAATTACATGGTCTCATGATCACTAAAGCTGATTCAAGGGAAAAAGAAAGGAAGAGGGAAATAACAGGAAGCTGAAAAGAACGGAAACTCTTACAAGCAGCTCATAGTTTGGTCAAGTTAAGAGCATTTTTAGACTTCTGTTTTTCCCATTTTTTAAATTTAGTCATACATATCCATCTAAGAGGGGCATTTAGTGAAACAAGTTTTGTGAAATATTTTAAAGTCTCTGATGAAATCATGATAAAATCCTAAAGTACTGATTACTACTTCAAGCATAGATGTTTCTGTGCCAATTATTTCCTTCACTTTCATTGTGGAGTTGTTGTGAGTTGTAATTAATACTTTAAATTATTTTAAGTACTTTGTAGATTCTATTAATGATTAATTCTTATGTTCGATATTGACTTTAAACTGATGCAAGTGTTCTCAAACTACAAGATATATTCTAACATATTACAATGTATGATTTTCTTCTCACAGCAAACTGTTATTACAAATTTGAACAGCACAGATTTTCATGGCAGTGGCTACACAAGGTAATTTACACAGATCTTCTTATTACTTTGCTCCTTGCAGGGTGAAGCTAGTTATAATTCCGTCTGGTAGAGATAAACTTTCAAGAGATTGTAGTGTCCTGTTGACTTCACAATTTAATAGCATACTTAAAACAGTTTAAAACGTAGGCTTCTCACACTCACTCTCGTTCTACTCTGAATTATTTCTGGTTGAACTACACATCTGTTTTGCATATTTTCTCTGTAGGGAGAACAAATACCATACAGTCATCACGTTCTCAACATTTTGTCTTAGGAGATGAAGAATGTGGAAGTTTTAAAATAAACAAAACTGCTAGCTAAGGCCTTGGTTGTTTGCCTTTGTACACTTCTGTGTGTTTGTGTAGGATAGGTGGTGTGCATCAACTTCCAGGAAATACTGCAACGGAAATGTGAAAGGAGCAGTCAGAAACACAAGAAGCAAAGCCACAAAAAGCCGTTCTGCTTGTTTATTGCACTGGCATAGCCAAACTCACAAAGCATCATCAGGGACCTTTTGTATGCCAAAATAATCTGTCATAAAGGAAAACCTGGTTGCTGCTTTGAAGGGTTTACTGTCTTAATTTAAACTAAAAATACAACTAGCACAAAATACATGTATAAAATTTCTGTGGTGTATTTGGGAGAAAATGAAAACCTCAGTGATAGACATGAGGCTCTAGAACATTCTCCTCCAGAGGTACTGGGCACAAAATACAGGAATTATTGTGAAGGCACAGTTTGACAAGCGCATATTGTAAATTACAAGACGTGCTTTCCTGCAATAGTTTGGGACTCTATTCAGCAATCCAAAAAACACTGTACACCCCTATATTCCCCTATAGAGTGCAGTGGGTGAAGGTAACAGAAGAAAGGAAGGTTATTAAAGTTACGCAGTTACTTAAGTTATGTATGTACTAAACTCAAGATTTTGGAATTGACTGAACATTCTTAAATCAGTTGCACGTAAACCCTGTATTTTATTTTAAATACTGAATCGTCTTTGTTGTTTATTTATGTAGCATGTCCATTATTTATGGAGTATTCTCTGCATCAAATCTTGTATCGCCTTCAGTGGTTGCGATAGTAGGACCTCAACTCGCCATGGTTGTTAGTGGCATATTTTATAGGTAAGTATTAATTTTGAATTTTTGTCTGCTTCCTTTGAAATGTTTCTTTTGTTTTATCAAACTGAAGGCTATCATGCCACACATGAAATTGTACTGTCTAAGGAAGGCATCTTGCAGAGATACTGTATCAGTAGAGGTGTAACCGCAGAGTACTTCAGCCTACTGGAAACAGAGTGTATTTTTTCCACAGTATTTCCAGACTTTGCTGACTGCGGAGTCCATGTGGTGGTCTCAGACTAATGACAATATGAAAAAAAATTCTATGTGCTTAGTGGAGTAAAAAGGTTACTTTTTTTTCATGTACAACCTAAACTATTTTCCAATGTCACTTAAGAGTAGCTGATTTAGAAGAAGCTAAGTAAGATACCTGATTGTTAAAGGCCATTGTCCATTTTAAGTCTGTATTCAATAAACTGGTCTGTTCTATTCTAGCCTATACATTGCAGTTTTTATCCAACCTGCTACATGGGCTTTCTACACGGCTTCTGTTTTTATTGGCATTGCAGCTGCTGGTAAGCATTGTTCTTACTCTGCTTACTATTCTTTGCTATATTTGACTATATCTCTAAAATATTTTTATTTCCTGAGCAATATATTCTGTATATTTCAGTACTCTGGACAGCACAGGGAAATTGCTTGACTGTAAATTCTGATGAAAACACCATTGGAAGGAACAGTGGCATATTTTGGGCGCTCTTGCAGTCCAGGTAAACTTTATTTGTTAATCCTCTTTTGGTTGTGTACACATTCTACATTTTACGTTTTTTGATAAGTGGGACACTGCATCAAAAGATACTCCACTGGTACCTTGCAGTCAGTGAAATGGGAGGGACAGCTCGAAGCGACATTTCTATTGCTGTTGTGCATTATAGAACAATGAATGAAAGTTACATATTGCAAGCCTCTGCTCTCACCATGCCGAAAGATACATTTCTGTTAGGGGAGCATTTGACATGTAACAGAAATCTTGTTGATTGTGGAAGGCTGTGCTAATTTGTGTCAGGATGATGAGTGCACTAATAAGCCTTGATGGTCCTGAAAAACCTCACCTGGGACCTCCATCACACCCTTCCCATCTGCCCATGGGCCCAGGAGCCCCATTTAAACTCAGCCCTGGGCCTGGTAGTCTTCTGGAGCTCTGTTGGAGGAGTATTAGTCTGCAGCTTAGCCACAGCCATGCCCCTACTCTGCAATGGATCTTGGTGGTTTAGACCCTAGTCCACAGACTGACTTCCTGGCTTGGCTTTGTTCTGTTTTGTCACTGTGGATCTGCATGGCAATCACCAGACCTGTCTCTGGCCTGTGGATGGACTTCCCAGCTTGACCTCAGACCGGCCTCATCAACATAAACTTGTAGGATTGTCTGGACTGTTGGTTGACTCTTTGGGTCTGCCCTGCTTGCCTTGCTCAAGTACTGCTGGGCTGGTCTCTACCTGACAAGGCACCTTTTCTGCTGGATGTGTTATACCCCTTGATTCTTGGCCCTCCTTCCCTGAGGGAGCAGCCAGACCTTGCTTACTGAGAAGTTGAAGTGAAGATACTAAAGTTGGACCTGGCAGTCAGAAGTTAGAAAAGAGGTCTTGTTGATACTTCTCCGATACTAAACTTCGAGTGCAGCATCAACCAAAAAAGTTAACAAAAGGCTCAGCATCAAGAAAGGTAGTGAAAACAAGGTAGTGGATGCTGCGTTGCTGCCATGGAGTATTTAGTGCAGATATGGTTTATGCCTCTTGGGAGAGTGTAATGAAATAGGGGTATAGGGAAAAATAACAAAACTGTACAAAAAGATAGAGCTGCTGACTTGTAGAGAGTAAAAAGTCTAGGACTCTTTCCTTTGGAGAAGAAGCATCTGATGAGGATTATACTGATGGGTTACTAAAACATGAAGGTAATAAGTGAGCTGAGTGTAGAACTGTTGCTCACCAAATGCTGCTGTACAAGAACTTGGGTCGCCTGGTGAAATCAGAAGATGATTGGTTGGAAACAGATCAAGTATTTATTTACACAATGGGTGATTAAACTTTTGAGCTTGTGGCAGGGGGGTTGGAACTAGATGATCTTTAAGGTCCCTTCCAACCCAAACCATTCTGTGATTCTATGAATTCTAAATATTGGGAGATATTGAGGAGACTGAATTGCAGAAAGTGCTTAGGCTGGTAAGTGTGCGCTAGATGGCATTGCTAATGCTGTTGTGGGGGCAGAATACTGGATTAGTAGAACATCATTCTGAACCAGTGGCACACTTCCTGTGTTCCTTAAGTTTCAGGTTTCAGCATTAACATATCAGGATGTTATCAGAGTAGCAATTTCCACAAACCCAACTAATCGTGTGTTCTACAGTGAGTAAAATGCATGGCTTTATATAAGGAAACTTGTAAGGCTCTTTTGAATCGCTATCAGAATTATTGTGTTTCAAGAAACTGGAGGTAGGAACACAGAACTTCCCTTGAGCTGTTAACCACTTTAGCATTGCTGGGCAATACTTCAGACAAGACACATGACTCTTCCAAGGCAGTATTACAAAATCATCTCCATAAATATGTCAGCTTTCTAACCTATACCCTTCCAAAATTAGAGACAGAGGCACTTTAGATGTAGATGTCCATATTTGTGCTACCACCTTGTCTTGATTGCTTAAAATAGAAAGCCAACATTATGGGAAAGAATCCTCTACTGTGTTTGAAGTTTTATATAGAGTAAGCAGTTTACACAGATAGTGGCTGGTGTCTTTATTCCTTTCATGATTGCACAGTACTATTTTCTGCATAGAATAGTATTACCATGATGCTACAACCTTAATCTTACCATAGAAAGTGCTGTTCACCCTTGTTGTCCTTTTTGATTACAGCTTGTTTTTTGGAAACCTCTACATATACTTTGCTTGGCAAGGAAAAACTCACATATCAGGTGGGTATTGCTTGTTTATATGGGACGCTATCCTTTAAAATATGGTAGCATGAATAAACAGATGAAATAATGAACTGAAAAGTGGCAATAAACTTGTACAATAACAGACATTTTTTTTCCAGTTTATTGTTAGATAGACTGTATTTTTGGAGCATGTTTTTGATTGTGTTCCATGGTACTCATGGCCCTTGTATTATGTATACTTTTTTTCCTGCATGCAATGCACTTCTGAGTACCTTCTTTTAGGATATTGTCTATGAAATTCTTCAGAATTTATTTTTCCACCATAGCTACTCAGGGATTTTTCCTGTGCAGATACACTTACGCCAAAATACACATTTCTTTGGGGAAAGTTATTCTGGAATGGCTGTATGTTTAATATACACACTGTCCTGTTCCAAAGTACTCTCTTGGTGTAGACTGTCCTGAATCAGATGGGAGAATGCTTAACCTATGAAATAAAGGAAAAGAAAGGAAAACCATCGCAGTTCACTTCATGGCTGCACTAATCACTGTGCTAGAACAGAGCAGTAGCAAGACAGAGGTTGGGACGTGCAGGTGGACTGAGAGTGGGCTGCTGCTGCTTGAACTAGCAGCACTGCTGGGAGAGTGTGTAAAGAACTCAGTTTTCCTTTCTTGGTGTAGTTTATGAAGACTAACTTTCTAATGGGATTGTAATTAATTCTATAGCTTTTTTCATTTGACATCATGCCAGACTGGTAAAGAGCAGCAGAGAGAAAAGTAAACTTCATATTCTGAAGAAGCTGGATAGTGGTTGAGACTCACTGGTTTTAAAGCAGAGATTTCTGCTTAAGTAAACAAGGCAGGGTGGGGTGGTATCAGCTAAGAAAACAGCAATGGTGAAAATAGAGCAAAATGTAAGATTTTAATTACAAAACCTGAGTATTGCTGGAAAACCAACATTGTGTAAATAAATAGGGTCCACGGTCCTGTTCTGTAATGACTGTGAGACTCTTTATTGTAGTGTTAAAGTAAAATATCTACTAGAATGGTCAAGCCTTTTAACATTTAAAAGATAAGGATATTTCTGCTGTAGTCAATCAGGAATAAGATGTTGATTTTTAAATTATAATTATCAGGCTTCAGAAACACTGCTCTGTTGAGATGAATAGTCCATGTCTCTGTTAAATCCACCTTCTCAGGTTTCCCACGGACTTGGGTGTGCTAGCTCAGCACACGTTAATGTTAATTTTTAAAGGTCAGCTCCAGCATTCCCTCACATTTAACACAAAGGCTGAAATGTTATTGAAAGTACAGGAGACACTTTGGATCTGGTGGGTCTGAAATTCTTTGCATTCTAAATTTCATTGCTCTTTCTAGCCACAGAATAGAGCACTTAACTTTGAGGGAGTTCTGCTGTTACATTTCCTTACATCTTTAAATGTCTTGAGGTTCCTCTTTATTAAAAAATGGTATCAGATGATCTGACAGTGTTTAAGAATCAATTCCTCCTTCCTTTTACCACCTAAATGAAAATTTTACAGGTATTTCAAGGTGAAACACATAGTCTCTTTGATCTGTAATTATACAGGTTAATTTTAATTGATGTAGAACAATTTTATGTTTACCTTTAAGCTAAAGGGGAAGTAAATACAAATGTAGACAATATCTTCAGAATCATACACTAGTTCAATCACAACTATTAGCCGTTTCTTGGCTTTTTTCTGCTTAGTATTTGTGCATGGGAAAAACTTCTGTAATACAGATTTTCCTGTGCCAAACAGGTCGGCTGGTGCAGCAGAGCTGGTGCATAGGGCAGCAATTACCTTCTTCCAGCTGTACACTGTATGCTGTGTCAGTTAGATTTCAGTGAGTTTAAGGCCTTTGTAGCTTACAAGCCTACCAGTTCATGACAGTACAGTGCTAATATTTCTGATGCTTGTTGAGAGGCTTGGTTTTTGGTGTTTTTTGTTGTTTTTTTTTTTTTTTTTTATTAGAAATCTGAAGAGTTTTGGTGTACTTTGCTATGTCGACTCTGAATTATCAAAGTCTTAAAAGATATACTTTCTTCTGCTAATGATTTATGCATGTCATTTGTTAATTGGCTCCTCCTTGCTCATAGCATTTGCATGGCAGAAAATGTGAGTGACACTCTTTAATATGCAGGTATTTTATTAGCACCATAAAACAGATAGGAATTTGCCAGCAGCTGGGTACCTTTTGCTCCATGTGAATGGTAAGTTAGAAAATTGATATGCATTTTAAGCGCTGTTACGTAGTATGTCTGTATTAGTTTTTGGAAGGTAGTTGAATTGGTTTTAATTGCTTTTGCACATCTGGTTATGAATCTTCTTTGTTTTTCCACAGAGAGCGATCGCAGAACTGTCTTCATTGCTCTGACTGTTATCAGTCTTGTGGGCACAGTTCTGTTCTTTCTGATTAGGAAACAAGAGGACACAAAAGCTCCAGGGGAGGAAGTTTCTGCTAATGAAATCCTGAGGGACAGCTCGTAAGTGCTCGTGGCAATAACATGTTGTCACATATACTTGTTTGTGCTCCTACTCCTCAATGGAACATCGTGCATTCACTTTCCCCTCTACAGTGGAAACATGAATGTTATGAACAACCTGTAGAATTTACAGATTTAATAGAAAAGTGTCTGTACTTTAACAAGTGAGAATTAATGTTCTTTATATGAGATATTTTCAAGGGTGGAGTGCAGTACTGCACATTAAGTTTTTCCATTAGTAAATGTCTTTGGAGAGCTAACTTTTATCTCTTTTTCCCACTGATTATTATTAAACACATATCTGCCTTTCCTAGTCTGTCTTGCCCTTATCTGCCCATTTTAAGGGCTGGAATAAGCAGACATTATTTGCTTTTTATAGGTTATCTTTTATATACTGAAATATTTTTTTTCATATCTTCTCTAAATATATATATATGCCACCCTGATAAATACATCAGAAATGTGTAGGTACACAGATAGATTCAGTACAGTTTTGCCTGAGGCATCATTTTAAATATTTTTATTTTATTTAAAGAACAATGGAAATGTTTGAAAAACATCAGTAAGTATGCCAGTGAAAAAATGTTCAAAGCTAAAAATGCTCAGAAGAAAGATTCTATTAAGTGGGTTAATTTTTGAATGGCATTCACTAGCACAGAAAGCAAATAAGTTTTCTGGGTAGTAGTTTAGATTCTCAGAAATTTTTAATAATATATTAACATGTTCCAGTATCTACTGCTGGGCTAGAAGACGTACAGAGAATCTGAAAAGTTAAGCTGCCTTCCAGCATAGTGATACAGTGTGGTTATTCTCTTTCCATTTTGACTTAAGTCATTTATTTACCCAGGTCTGCACAAAACAAAATGACAAGAGCAGTGGCTGCCTTCAGTAAGTACTGTTTCATATCAGACTTGCTTCAAAAAATACTGACATATCCTTTCCAGCTCTCCATGATTCTGCTGATAATGTGATCATGGACAAATCACTTAAAATAAAAATTTGTGAACAAATAAGGTGTTAAGAATGCATTTCAGTTATTCCACATCAAATACAGACCTTCAGCAATGTCCTGCTTTGAAAAATGACTGCCAGGTGGCAGTGTTTTTCAGACCAGTGATGACATTTCACATAGGGACACAGGATGGATGAGTTTTGAGACTGATAGGAATTCAGTTGTCTGTGTGAACATTTGTGATTTTGAGCCTAGCCATAATGGGGTTTGCAACTGAAAAAGCTTGGGAACCACTGAGCTAATGTGTGGGCAAATTACTGTTGATGTGGGATTGGTGTGAGCTGGCTGTCTGCACTTGAGAAGTGCTCCTTTCAGGTGACCATACCATGCAGACAAAGCTTGACTACAAGCATAGACTTCGCTTCAATTATGTACTAGTATAGTCCAGGAGAAGTTTGGAGGGGTACTTCTTTGATGTAGTTTCAGATCCAAGCTACTTTACAACAGCTTCCTTATACAGGTGAGCTCAAAAAGAGCAAGTCACCACTTGGAAAAGCTAGTGCATGAAAGTTTTTTTAAAAAAATTTAAAATTCACTAACATAACAAGATGAAGTTACATGTTGTTTTATTTTGCCATCAAATGAAATCAGTTAAAAGCAACAGTTTTGAACTGGAGCATCTTCAGTTTCAATTGGAAGTTTAATGTGGTCTGCCTGTGACTATTAAGTTTGTTTTGAGAGTGGTGATCTTCACTAAGTACTTATTTATCCTTTTAGGAGACAATTGCCATGAACTGAGAGTACAAAAGTACAATGAGCAGAAAATTGTCTGCTAACTGAAAACTGTATCTTTTCTTTGATATTTCCCCCCTTGCATTTCTTACAAAATAGGATTTCAGATAACAGCTTTTCTTTCAAAGGGCAAGTCAGGGATAGTTTCTTTTAGCATTGTTTCCTGTAATAATCACACATAAAATTATATAAAATTATACAAAAATTTGTATAATTTTAACCTATTTTTGTGAAGAGCAAAAGGAAGCGCTTAATAGTGTTACTGGTCATATTAATTTCCATTACTGTGTCTTTACAGAGAAATCTATAAAGCTGAGCTTCACCAAAGAGATTCTGCTTCTCAGTGTTACAACAGCCTACACAGGTATGAAGCAAGCAGAGTGTATAATCATATAGCAGTGCCAGGGCTTTGTTTGGAATTCTAACCCCAGAGTAGGATTGCAATTCCATATCTCTGCAAATATTACTTGAATAATTCAGTTAACATTGAGCAAGTTACTATGGCATTCCTGTGTTCTGGACAGTGTTTCTGTATGGGAGGAGGGGTGCACCTAAATCTGCAAATACTGACAGATGTAGTAATGCTTGGTTCAGTACAGTAATTGTTATAGGTAGATTAAGGCCAATCACATCCAAATATGGATTAATGAATCTTTATTAAGGTAAGAGAGTAAATGCCCCGCTGGGGTGGCCGAGGAGTCGCAGCTCCGTCCAGGCTCACCAAATTGTTTAAGTTTCAAACCCCCTTTTATCCACGCAGCTGCCGGTTTCAACACCTTCGGCAGCCTCCTGGCTTCTTCTACAATCTTATCTTCTTTCTTCAGTCCTGTGGTCACATACACCTTGTCCTTCAAGTCTGGGCCAATTTGCAGCTCCTTTGTCTTTTATGGCTCAGTGGTTTCAGTTCCTCTCTTATCTCAAGGACAAGGGATACCAGAGATGGCCCATTCTGTTCTTTCTCAATCCATTGCAAAGGAGTTACCACCCTGTGATATGGATCATCTGGTGAGCATCCCAAGAGGGGGGGCTGTTGGGTTGGTGTTTCCTCAGATCAATTCCCCCCTTTTCCCAGTAGTAAAGTCTTTCACTTTTCTTAAAATTTGGATCATTGTACTAATAATAGCTTTAGCCTAGGAAGTAATTGTTTAATTACTTTTAGGGAAAGCAAAATTCTTCTATTACTTATCACAGTAATGGGTCACTCAAACTGAGGATTAGGCAAAACTTACATAGCTGATTTGTATGTGATTTGGGTTAATAGGTTGTAGATTATTTAATTAAAATAGATTAGTAGATTGTTGAATTAAAATTATTTTTGTACAGTATGCTTTTAGTGTCCCCTCCACTGAAGTGTGGGAGATTACTAACAGTCTTCATTTTAGTCTTGGTTCTACTGGGAAAAAGTTTAGCCATTTTCAATTATTTTTTGTCACTAGTATTTGCTGTGGCAAAAGCTTGCTTTCTTTTTAGCAACTTGAAATCACGTCTGCCACTGTTAGACCAAGGTATGAGTTGTAAAATAAAAATACATTTATTTTTGCCATATACTCGAGTGATTCTTCCACAAAAAAACTGTAAAATGTTCAAAATGTTACTGGGATCCTTTAACAGATTTTTGAGGGGGGTTCTTGCTCCTTATTTGCTCAGATGTAGTTCTGTTAATGATCAGATTAAGTTTTAGGAAGCATAGCTGCATATTCAGAACCTCAGCTCTTCAGCTCTGATTCACTGTTATGAAAAATTGTTGTTAGCTCTGGTAGGCAGAAAGCAAGACCTAGATGCAAACAAGCTATAAACAATTCCATAACTTCTGCTGAAGTTTGCAGTCAGCTTCTTGTAGAGAAATAGCAAATAGTAGCTATGAAGTCAGCTTGCACTCGCTACTAGTCAGAGCTACAAGTTACTTCACAGCATCTCCAGTGCTGCATTAATGTAAATTAACTAACTTGAATTCCTCTTAGATGTTTAGTGCACTGGGAATGTGAAGCAAGATAACAAGGGAAGGAAGTCAGTCAGGTTTTGCTTGATTAATCTGAAATTTGGTTTTAGAGGTAGCAGGAAAAAAAAATCAGTCCAGTTTGGAAAAAATAGCTGCTGCCATCTGGTGGCTCTTGGTCAATATTGCCACTTTATGTAGAAAAATACAAAATCCCATGAAGCCAACAAAAGCTTTTATTTGCAAAATGGATGATTGGATTATTAAGATTGCTCAAAGTTCACCCCTTTTTGAGGCTATGCAGTTCATATAGCATGTTGGATAGCCTGCTACCTATAGACCAGGATATGGTGTAGCATATTTTTGCAGTAGCAAAGGATGTAAATTAGAAATGGTTCTATCTTTGAACTATTTTTCTCTGTTTAGGCATAACACTTTGCATTGTTTTAAATATGCTTTCAATTACGGAACTGGTATTTTTACACTGATGGTTGCTTATAGTCCTGCTTGATGGACTCAGCTATGTTACTTTTCCTCACAGTAATGACAGTAGAAAGGAGAGCTTTAAACAAATAGCAGTTGTTCTTCCTCAGTTTTAGTTCATTATGTATAGAAAAGCAGCTGTCCATTTTAGGAATCTTAGCTCTTTTGGTATTTGGAGGTACAAGGAGTCTTTCCTAGGAATGCCATAAATTGGGGAGAAAAAAACCCTTACATGTGAAATTCCAGAATTCTTGAAAAGTAAAATTACAATCTATGTAGAGATTCTGTAGTCAACAGAAGCAGTACTGAACCTAAGTGCATGTGACACTGTTTTTTCTAATACATTTTTTTGTAAACTGGCATAGGAGAATATCCTAATTACATAGTTTAAAACTCCCTAATTGCTTCTATTACACATATCTCATTTAAATATATGTATTTGAAAGATACTTTAGGAAAAAACAGCCTTTAGACATAAAGAATTTTTAAATAACTTTCATAAGAGTACATCTATCAATTTTGTTTGTTTTCTTTCAAAGGTTTGGAATTAACGTTCTTTTCTGGAGTATATGGAACATGTATTGGTGCTGTAAATAGGTTTGGCGGTGAAGAGAAAAGTCTTATTGGTCTCTCTGGAATTTTTATTGGTGTTGGAGAAATTTTAGGTGAGTCTAAATTTACCACATTATAGACAAAAAAGATTTAGTTACTCAGAATGGTTTTTTTGTATTTAACTGAAGAGTGTCTTTCAATCTTCCAGCAATGATTATGTAAACAAAAAATGAAATATTAGAAATAAAATTGTCAGTGTGGTTCCTTATTGCACTGTGAATTATACATTACACCATGTACAGTGAATGCAGACTAGGGTGTGAAATACTGATGACTATGAATCCTAAAATTTTGCATTCTTTTTGGGTTAGTGCAAAGAAATACCTAAGACTTAGAATTAGAGAAACATTAGGCTACAGTGTTATTGGGGAATTGTCAGTGTTTCAATATTCTGTTTTTAAATAGTGTTCTGTTTGCATTTTTATTTCTTAAGTGATATCATAACTATTTAAAATTTATTAAAGTATTGCACTAAAGATGTTTTTAAAAATGCTAGCTTGTGTTAAATGATCTGATATTTGAATAAAATTAAATACAGGTAATTCATTCAATTTTTTTTGCTTAAAACTGAAGTTCTGCAGTGTTTAAAGAACAACAACAAAGCCCCCACTGTCTTTGTTCACTAGCGACTTGGATCTATAGAGATATGCATGTTTTTGCAATTAAGAGCTAAGCACAAGGGTATCCATTTTCACTTAGTGTGTTGCAATACTGGCGGAAGCAGTGGCTGCTGGGAAGATACTTGAAAAAGGTTAAGTGTCTTCATCAGCAATCATCTGATAAATCTCCTTCCTGCATTTCTCAGACATCTCTAGCAACTCAAAGATTATGTCATCTGGCAAATGGTGCTGGCAGATCTGTCAAACTCCTTGGGGCTGTTTTCATGTCTGTCAATTTGTTATCCATTATGGGGAAGTTTATAATCTAAGTCTTCAGCATTTTTTTTTTCTAGTATTTGGTTCTGTTCTTTACATCTTCAGTTCTGATTTAATTATCCAATGTTTTCCACTCATACAGGTGGAGGACTGTTTGGTTTACTAAGCAAGAATAATCGTTTTGGCAGGAACCCTGTTGTGATGCTAGGCATCATTGTCCATTTCATAGCCTTTTATTTAATTTTTTTCAACATGCCAAATGATGCTCCTATTGCTCCTATGGAAGGAACAGATGATGTTGCTTACATGATTCCAAGGTATGTAAACTTTTTCCTTTGGCTGGTACAACTCATGATGCATATAAAGAGCTTGTTCCTGTAATAGAAAACTCCTTGAAGCTGCTTTTCTGTGTAGTGACTAACTCCATAGAAAAGGCTTTTAGGAATTCTGTTTTTATTAAAGGTAGATATTCTACCAGTGTGTACCCAATTTAGGAATTTAAATGGCGTAAGAATAAAAACAACAAGGGTATTTGGTAGTAATCCTGTCACTAAGAACCGACATTCCTGAGATCTGGTACAATAGTGAGACCAGCAACTATTGTGCTAAATGTCAGGAATTCCGTTTATTTTAAAACACTGTTGGGCTCAGTTTTACTACAGCAGGAAGCACCAGCCTTGCGCTGTTGCACTGGTTTCCAAAGTCTCTTGTTGTCAAAGTCCACTTGGTCTGGAGCCATGCCATGCCTGTCTGTTATACCACTCAGTGTTAGGGGAAGAATATAGGGAGCTTTCTTATCTCATCATTGTAACTTTCTTTTGGGGTGTATTTTTGCCACGTTGTGTGAAAATACAGTGTTGTCAGTTTGTATAGATACAGCTGCTAACTTGCAATTATAAGTAATTGTGCCTGTGCTGGTGATTAGTCTTTATTTAACTGGAGTATTTTTCTGCAAAATGAATTGATATATTTCTATTATTCCTGCAGTTTTTATGAACTCACCATGTGTATCTCAGCTTTTAATCACTGCCTTGTGGGCTTTGTGGCTCCAGGCACAAAAATGAGTTGTTCTAGCAGTTCTAATTCAGTGTAGGCTTGACTGCAGGTAACAATAACAGAAGGTTTAGCATTCAAGAAATTGAGATCTGATGAAACTATTCTTTTGCCAAACCAAGTGTCCCCAGATCCTTTCCAGTGAAATTTAAAGTTTGATAACTTTCTTCCCTTCTCAGTTTCCAAATAAGTCTGCCAAAAATAGTTTATAGATGTGTAAGCTGTTTGAATGAATGGCTTTTAAATTTTCTTTTCTCCTTCAGCAAAGAGGTGGCCATATTCTGCAGCTTTCTGTTGGGCCTGGGGGACAGCTGCTTTAACACCCAGCTCCTCAGTATTTTAGGATTCCTGTATTCAGAAGACAGTGCTCCTGCCTTTGCCATTTTTAAGTTTGTTCAGGTATTACATGACACAACTTCTTGGAAGTATGACTGTTGGAATGTTATTGAAATACTGGGCTGGGATTTTTAATGAGCTAAGAAGCATTACGTTGTTTCTGCAAAGGGTTTCAGCCTGGCTTTTTTGTCTTTCACAGGAGAGAATGTTTTTAGGTACGAGTAGCTTGGTTGCATAGCTTGGTGTAATTATATAATCAAACTGCTATTAAGAGTTTTGAGGGAATTTAGAAGTGTTGGGAATTGTAGTTTAAAGTCAAAAGGCTAGTGCCGTTAACCAGACTTGGATTTTATTTAAATAACCATTTACTGAATTTACTTACTCAAAGAAGTCTCTGACAGAGGGGTGTGAGTTAAAAGGAAACAAGTTGTGTAAATAGTAGTTGAAGAGTTTGTGGGTGTTGTGGCATATCATGGGGAGTTATCAGGTGGGTACACAGACAAAAGAAGAATTAAGTAATGTTTATCTGTCCTTAAGCTGTCGGAATGCCAGAATGACTGCATCTACCTTAGCTGGAGACTTGATGAAAAGTCTTCACACAGTATAAATACAACTGCTGTATTTTGGGTAGATCAGTTAACTCACAGGCATTAATCTTCTTTTGTACTGAACTTTCCAGGCCAAGATCTGTGTTGATCAGAGGTATTGGTAGAAAATTGGTGGTGCAAAGCATTGACACTGTTCATGCATGGTCACACTAATAGCAAGCTAGTGCTGGGAGCAGAGGTCAGCGGGTGTCTAGTTTAGAAGATGACAGCTGCTTGCTTCAGAAAAATACTTATTTTTCCTTATGCACAGCTCCATTTGTATATCATTCTCAGTGATGTGTAAGAATTTGAGATAGATGTAGAATACAAAGATTCTTTATATGAGCTCTAATGAAAACTTTACCTTTAAAAAGGATAGATTGCAAGTAAGCAACACTGCTTGTTGAAGCCTCTAGCTATTCTGATATAGACTAGTTTGTGATGCTGTAAAGCTAGAAATAATTTTCTGGATTTTTTCTTAAAGCCTTGACAGTGTTGTTTCTAGTCAAACTGCTTTCAAGTACCAGAGACCTGCACTTGCAATGCTGCAAACACTTTTGAGTTTTGTCTTCACTTTCTGCAGTGAACACTAGTTAAATAACAAGTAAAAACTACATCTGTTGTACATCGCATTAAGACATATGTTGAGGTGTAATGAAGTTTTAAGATTATATATCTTCTACAGCAGCGTACTACTAGAGTTGCATATTAAACTGTGTGTATGTCAATTTAATAATCCTTGTAAGTAATACTAGCTTGGATATCTCCACTTACAATCTTTTTACGCTGTGTTTTTCTTTCTTTCAGTCCATCTGTGCTGCAGTTGCATATTTCTACAGCAATTACTTCCTTCTGCAGTGGCAACTCCTGATCATGGTGGTTGCGGGCTTCTTCGGAACAATTACTTTCTTTACAGTGGAGTGGAAAGCAGCAGCAGCAGCAGCTCCTGTTGCCCGTGGCTCAGACTACAGCAGCATTTGATCTAGATACCATGCCTAGTCCAACATAAGGAAAAACATGAGCACATTTATTGTGAGGTGACGCGAGAAGGTGAAAAGATCAAGCTGCTGCAGAGATGAAGATGGAGGAAGCTACTACTAAATCACTGTCAGTCTAAAAGATTGTGAAACATGAGAGAAAAAAAAATGCCAATTTGAAAGGCTTTTTTCTTGCTTTAATCAACCGAGCATGGTATGCATGTTCTTAAAAATCCAGTATTAGAAATGGAAGGAAATGTAGAGATCTATGTATTGAACAACTCTGTTCTGAGATGTACCTTTCAGAATGTAATTGCCTAATTTAACTCTACCATGCACTACAGAATTACAGTTTCATCTTTTCCCTGTAAATTATTTTTCCTATATTCTAATTCTGCAAACACTTGAATTCTTGTATTGAATGAGTGATATTTTTATAAGGTACATTATATCACAGAGTGTGTCTGCACAACTGAGAGATCAATTTGTCATTGACTTTTTCAACAATTAGATATGCAGAAGTATTTCTGTGGGAAATGTTGCTGCCTTATGCTGTATCACCTAGCTCTTTGTTTCCCAACTGTTTGTTTATTAATCTATTCCATGTGCTTAAATTCTCTCAGATGCATGGGTTTCTTTGAAGGAAGCGAATTAGGTTGTAATGGGACATGAACGATTTTACAAGAATTGGAAGAAGTTACTCCTAGCCATCTTGAGGATGTGATCCTGAGATCTGTGAAGTACTGATAATAGAAAACAGTGTCCTCGTTTGGCATCACAGAATTGAGCTGTATTGGGATAGCTGCTCCAACTTTCTCAGGGTAATGCTGTATGAAGGACCGTAAGACACTGCTTCCCTCTCAGACTCCCAAATAATTCTTTGCACTTCAGTTAAATTTTCATCAAAATCTGAGTTGGGAGCATTGTCTAAGATAATTTTTAAAAGTGCAAATAGACTCAGAATGTGAAGTGTAAGAATAATCTTGCAGTGTTTATTCTACTGCATAGTCTAAAAATACCTGAAACGCTTGACGTAAGTTGTTTCATTCATTATACTTTAGGAAGACTGTATTGTAATCTTATTCTACCAAATGTGAAAATAAGGATACTAGCATAGTAAACTATGTTTTAATCCAAAACTGTTACAGATTATATAATACAGTGAATGCAACTCACCTTGATTTTTATGTCTCCATGACTCTGTAGTACTTGCAGTTATGTTTCTGTCTGGTGGGCAAACAAGATGCAACTGAGAGCAGATATGGAACATTGAGAAGGTGCTTTTAGACACTCCATGTAACTATTTTTAGAAAAGTACCATTCACTGACCTTTTTATTTATGCACAGTCAGGACGTTAGTGTTTTATCTTTAAAGATAAGTGAAAAAAAAGGTTGACTTGGTAGGTGTCAGTAGCTCCTCACCAAGGTTAAACTTGGTGAGGGAGTAGGGTATCTCCTGTGATGTTTGCTGCCACTTTTGCTCTCACAGGGCAGGTAACATACAACTCCCAAGAAGCACAGCCCTCTTCATGCACAGTAAATCAACAGAGAGGGATTGTTTTACATGCATATAGAAAGGGATTTTTAAATTCACTGGGGGTTTTTGCTGTGTAATCAGTAAGGTGTTAATGGGAGGATGAGAGGGCACCTGAACATTTGGTAAGCAAAGAAGTCTTTGAGGACTGCCAGGAGAGAAAGTCTTTGTGTATTCCCAGGAGATTTAATGAATGATGTAAAAGAGAATGAGGCAGAACACACACTTGAGTGAGGGGTTACCAAAGCCATTCCAATTTGCCAGACAAACTGAAAAAGCATTCAGTGTTCAATCAATATATATGATTAATGTGACTAGCAACATTCTAATGCCTCTTTCTTATCCACTCCTGTGTTATCCTGTAACTTGAAGCATACTATTTTTATATACTGAGCACTGTAAAAGATACAGTTGATAGGATTCTGTCAGTGATCAGAATTCTCTTGTTGCTACACATTTGTATTTTCTCCCAAGTACTGAAAGGGATAAAAAAAGTTATTTAAGGTAGGGAATTACTGACTTTTGTCTCCAAACTCTTCCTGGGACCTGTTTTCCCCTACATACCAACAAGAGAAGAAAGACTTGAAATTTCATCAGGAACAATTTTATCTTACAGTACATGGTGGGGAAAAAGTGATTCTTGGGTCTAATGGTGATGGGTAAATTGTGTTTTTAAAACTGCCATTTAATTGTAGCTAGGTTACATCTCTCATGAGGTGGCTTTTTAAATTGATTCCTTTTAATGATGAACTTGTGTTGTTCATCTGCCATATAAGAATTATATCAACTGTTTTATTATAAATTGCTAAGTTTACATAGCTTTAAAAAGCATTTTGAGACCAACTTTCAGGGATACTAATGAACTAGGATTTGTGGATTTTTCAGTGCCTCTGTGAATCTGATGCATTATTTTTTTTCTCTGTTCTGCTTGGTCCAGCTCGATATCAGATAATGTTAGAAGGCTGTTCAGAACTATTTATTGGGTCGTTAAAATGAATTATTATTGTTCTGTGTCAAGTTTTACAAGAAATCGTGAAATTCTCAAAATTACATCATGGATAGCCAATTTTTTTTTTACTATTAACTGTATAAGTATTGCTATTGACATTTGATCTTAGGAGACAGTTCTCAGTTATTCAAGCTGATGATGACACATGATTGCTTTTCACTTACTCATATTTCTTTGATTTGTCAGGAGATGAAAAATCCAGCTATACACAATTGTTAGCTTGGTCAAAATCTTTGGTATAGCATTATCAAGAGTAGTAATGCTGACATCCGTTTATGATTCCATCTCTTAATCTTTTATCAGCATTTACCAGCCCTGAGACTGCACCTCATTCATTCCACTGCCTTGGCCTTTGAACAATTTCATGTTAATCTGAATTGGGAGCTTACTGTTAAATTAAGTTTTTGCTGTAATTGTGATATTGTGGGTTTGTTTTATATTGGGGATTTTATCTTTATAAGGGAAATTACACATTAAGTTGCTTGGGTTTACTGCAAAGAAGCTGTCTTTCATTTGTTTGTTGTTTGTTTTGGTTTGTTTTTTTTTTCATCCTTTTAGATTGTTACTCAGGCTTAATATCTTGACGTAGCACATCCCAAATTTTTCAAACAAACGCTAAAGAGGAAATGAAAACTGTTATTCGTGACATTTGAGTGCCAAAGAAGCGGCTACAAATTAGTCTTTAATGCATGTCATATAAGCATATAATCTGTATTTTTGTCTTGTCAGTTGGTTTTAATTTTGATGTATGAATATATGGAAAGAGAAAATTTCTACAACTATAGACTTGGTTCATAAGTAACGTGCTTTTAGTTCTGCTGTGTTAATTTCACTAGGTACAATCTATGTTAGTAAGTTGAGATAAGGAGGGATACTACTTATAAAATGTTCTTTATTAAGTAATTCTAATCTATAAATTTCTGCAGATACAGCTAAACTCATAAGGGATATAACAAAAGTGAAAACCAAACCAGAACCAAACTCCATACCTTTGCTGAGGTCCCTATCTTGGCAGAAAACCCTCCTGTGGTAGAGTTATTAAAATCAAGAAGTCTTCTGCTGGTATAGTTCTTTAATTTTTGTGGCCACTTTATACTGGAAAAATAACTTCCTGGTGGAGTTTGGTGGTATAACTTTATGGAAAAGTAATTTTAAGTGCAGAAGACCATAAATTCAGGACTGTGTGCCGGTTAACCAGACAGAGAAAGCTCCACTTGGCTTTCTTTGAATTCCATGAGTTTACTTCAGCTGGGGAATGTGGTTTCCCAGACACCAACCTGTCTTAAGTGCCAGTAATTCTGCAGAGGTTGCATAGCAGCTTGCCTCTGAAGAGTAGGCGTGTATGAAGAGAACCTCAGTGATTGTTTTCTGGAGCAGCGATTAATTGTTTGCTATCAGTATAAATAGGAACCACTATGTCGAACATCATGCCAGTAGACACAATACTCAACTTTGACTTGAACTGTGTGTTAGTTAAGATAGGACCTTACAATCTTGACCATATTTTTTTTTTTTTCTAGAAAAATGCATTTTCCAGGACTTTATCCGCACCACTATTGCTAATAGATAATTCAGAGACTTTATCCATACCCCACTTAAGCTAACTGAATGGCAACAGTAGTTAATACCATGTTTCCTTGTTCCTTGGTAAGTCTTCTAACACTGGCATAAATATTAAAAAGTGGGAGAATTTAAAGATGATGATGAAGTTGAGAAGTTAGCTGCTTAACAAGATACTTGCCATTCTGATATGACCACACTGGTTCAAAAGCAATGTTGAGACTGTTGTAGTTTTCACTGATACATTCAGAATGATGATTTGATAAGTTTAACTTCAGAGGTGGTGTCAGTACCACAGAGAAGCACTAATGAGAGAGCAGAAAAAACATCCTTAAAAGTGCAATTGAGAGCAAGTCTGAAACTAAGTGTCAGCAGGCACCTGAAGGGGGTGCTTTGTTCAACTGAGTTTGGGTGTTTTAACTGCTACTGGCACTGACTGTATTTGTTTCATACTTTCTCTGCTATCTTGGTTATTTCAGCTGTTGACATGTCCTCTTCCAAGCTATCCTTTCTCTTGTTTACATTTTGACACTGTGCAGAAGTCTAATGTAAATGATTGAAACTATTTTACCTTAATAAAAGATGTCTTTGTTTAGAATTGGTGGTAATTGAGAACAGGCTCACACAGTGATTATCCTAATGAAAATGCTGATTTCAAGTGAGTGTACCTGACTCTTCACTATATTTCTTTTTGTGGTCACAGCCGTGCAAATGAAAGTGAATCACAGACAGTTTTTTTGTTAATACGCTTGTGTCAGAATTGTTCTTGTCGTGCCAGGGGCTTTGTAAAAGGGAGAGTCTTAACTGATGGAGCTCGAAGGTGCTTTGTGGCACCTGTAAGGTCCTTCTTAGGAAAATGAAAATGTTTAGTTTAGTGCCAACAGCCCTTTGAACCACTTAATTCTAATTGTGGCATAGGCTAGTGAAATGTCTTGGGGAAATCAGGGTGGCTGCTTCAGTCCGTCGTTTGCTTTCCCTGCCCTGTTTCAAAGCCCATCTTCTGAAAACTGAGCCCCTTGTCAAGAGGAGTATGTCTAATATTGTTTGGTTTTTTGTGGGTTCCTCTTTCAGTATCCTTTCCCATGGCTTTGGATGTTTTTCTCCTAGCTTAAGTGTTGTATGTCTCAGACTCTACAAAATTTGTCATAATTGTGGATTATAGCTTGCTGTTTATCTAAAATTAAATGTAGATGTGGAGGGCTATTGTTCAGTCAGAAATTGTGAGGCTAAAAGGCATGATTCAATCTGGTTTCATATTGCAATTAAAGGAGGTGGAGGCAGCAGCAGGGAACAGCTTTGCTGGCTATCATTTGGCTGGGCTGTGTGAGAAAGAACATGATTGCAGAGATGAAGATGCTGAAAGAAGGTAACAAGTGCTTTATGCAAGGAGGCCAGTACAGACAAACTTTGCCTGCTTCATTTTTCCCTTGAGATTCAGTAATTTGCAGATGCAACAAAATCCACTGTGGTTCCCCTAGTGTGATCCTTGGATGGCATTGCTATTCTGATTTCTGAGAGAAAAAATCTGTATTCAGTAGCTGACTGTAAAATCCTTTATGTGAACAAATAGAAAGGAACCTTGCAGGTTAGCTTTTACTGTGCACAGTCCTTTAAATCTTTGGATAAAAGGACATTTAGGAGTTTGCACTTCAAAGTTAGATCATGAAGGGGGAAAAAATAGAAGGTTTGTGCCTTAAATGAAAAAGAATCATTCATTCTGTCATATTAAAGGGAAATTGCTATTTGTTAAGGTCACTTGGTGAAATTAGCTTCAATTAAGCATCCTTACTAAATGCAGTGGTGACTGCTTATTGTCAGAGCCACTCATCTTGTGGTAATGCCTGACCTGCAGAGTCTGTTATGATTATTAATCTTTGTAAAAAAAAACAATTACACAGATAATAACCTGTTTAAAAGATCCTCACCACCATACATCATTATTTGTTTTGTGCTCACAGAGGTAGAACTGTGGTACAGAGCGTTTAAGAGCTCCAGCACTGAATGATTGTGCTAACGAAGTAAAGTATTTCCTCTGTAGCAGTAAAGCAGCAGAGGATGCTCAGGGCTGCGTGCTGTGC